GGCAAAATTAATTGGGCTAAAAATTGGTACCACTACTTATTTCTCTCTCAATCAAACTTATATACTATATTGTATCTCAACAAACAAAATATTTGGGGTCTAATAATTTAGGTAGATTTACCAAAAATAAATAAATTAGGTAGTATGTCAAATTAGGGCAAACGAAAAACATGTGTACAAAAAATCAGCCAAATCGAATAAAAATATATATGAAAAATATTAAACATACAAAGTACGTGACTAATTCATGATACCAAAATAAGCTAGATTGTTTTGATTTCTTTATTATTATAAGATTATTAAAAAAAACAATTTTTTTACTAACCATTTAAATTTAAATAGTGTGTATGAAATTTATTTAAATGTGGTCATGTCTTGCATCATTTCTAGGAATTCATTCACCACACTTAAAGGATTCTTTGTATTAGTGAAAATATTTTTCAACAAGTGACTTTGTATCTATTAACCTAAGTTCGAAGTCCCTTTCAACGATCGCTATGTTGAGCTTGTCACACTTAGTAGAAACTGGAAACCCAACTGAAAGAAAGACCACAAAATACTATTTTTTTACTAAGATGAAAAGCATGAGATGACAAAATTATTCATTAATTATATTTCTTTTGTTTTGTCGTAGAAAGATCGAAAAGACATTATTTAAAAGGAAAATATTACAAGATTAAATACAACAAAACCCGTCACAGTCGGAGCAAAACCGCCGTCGAAGTGCCGCCACCGCCGGAACCGAGCAATCATTCGTATTCACCGGAGCAAATTGGAATTAACTCCTTCAGTGTGTAGCCTCATTAATATAGACCCCAACTTAGGATTGACTATGGTCAATTTGAGTATAAAAAGTGTTGGGCCTGGGCCAATATGAAATAATGTGGACCTCTATACATTGGTTAATTTGTGTTTTAATGGGCTTTGGATCCGGTGATATTCTTACAATGGATTTCAATCAATTTACTCTAAATTATAAATAGTTTTAAATTATTATTGCAACGAATAGTTTATCATTTATTTAACTTTAACATAAAAATTACATAACGTTTTCTCTATTTCTAGGAGAATCTAAAAAGGCACTGCCCCCTGCCCCATTCCTCTATTTCCCCCAATTTGCCGATCAAAGATAGAAAGGGACGAACCGATCGGCAGCGAACCCATACACCACAATCCAAATCCAAATCCACCGCGGAATAGGCGAAAACTGACTGGTACTGTCATCACTGCTGCTCTGCCCAAACCCTAGGTTTTTCGTCTTTGGTTTCAAATCGCCCTCCATTTTCGATTTTTTTTTTCGTGCGTGATTGTGTTTTTTATGCCAACAATTGTCGTCTGCGATGCAGGGGTGTTTTGAAAAGGATGTCGATAGATTTGATATTGAAGCCGTCGTGCAGCGGTTGTGGATCGGCGGTGGAGCTGTACGGCAGCACGTGCAAGCACCTCACGCTGTGCGTGAAATGCGGCAAAAGTATGGCTGAGAAACGCGCCAAGTGCTACGAGTGCGGCACTCCAATTACTCGCCTGATTAGGGTTAGGAATCTATTCACTAACTGCAAAAGATTTACTGATGATTTCCATGAATGATTTGATGTGAACACGCACGAACTAGCATAGCATTTGCTTGTAGCATGAAGTTGATGTATAACTAAGGGTTTCACTTGATGTAGGTTTTAAGAATCTTATCCTGCAGTTTTATAAACTTGGGAGGGTTAATTATTAATCGAAAGATTTCTCGTGATTTTCCTGGCACACAAGGATTATCAAAATTGGGAACATTAAGTTTGAGAGCACTTTAGTTTTGTCCTTTTTATTTTGTCGATACATTTTGAGGTGTATCAGGTAATGATATCATGCAATTATCTTGTTTATGTGGTTTATAAACCAATTTTTTAACCACTCTTGCTTGAAACTACATTGAAGAGATCTACATCATCACACCATTGAGAACCCTTGCTAGTTTTACTCATTTGGTAAACTTTATTCGTAAGGTTTTAAGAGAATGGATTTTTGCTTGATTTTTACATACGTCAGCTTGTGCCCAATACATTGGTTGCAGATTGCCATTTAGTGTTTTTGTGCATTCGCTGCTCGTAATACAATTGCATTTCAAATTAGGTGCTAATGCTTGCAATTGAATATAACGTTATTTCTATTCAATAATCTTCTATTCTAATTTGTAAGTGGGTGTTATTTCTCATATATAGGAATATAACGTTCGGGCAAGTTCCAGTAGCGAAAAGAATTATATTATTGGAAGGTTTGCTACGGGATTACCAACTTTCAAGAAGAAGAATGATAATAATTGGACATTTCAGAAAGAAGGTCTGCAGGGACGCCAAGTTACCGATTCTCTGCGGGTACTGCTTTTACCTCATAAGATATCCAGTTCTATTTTATATTCACTGTTGGAAGTCCTAATATTTGTCTTTGAAAAAAGAGTTATGGGTATGTATCCGTCAACTAGTTATCCAGTTAAATACTTGTATTGTGTTTGTTGATTAGGATGATGCAGATTCCTAGTGTAGTTGTCCTGAGTTGGGATTAAGATGAAATAATTCTGAGGCTTTATCATTTTCTATGATTTTATGGAAGGTTGCAGTTAGTGTCATGATCCATTAGTTCTAAACAAAACCACCTGATTTATTTTACGCGATCCGAAACTTAATTAACCCGTTGCTATAGAAATATTTTTATTTAGACTGAACTATGTTTTTAGATAATATATAATGTAAAGTTTTGATTGGTTCATTTACTCTTTCTCAGGATGGTTTGGCTTTATGCTGCTTGACAGTAAATATATTGTCTTTATTTGTTAGCTTTTTGCTATCATCATATGATTGCATTGTATAGGAGAAGTTCAAGAATAAACCTTGGCTACTAGAAGATGAGACAGGCCAGTTTCAGTATCATGGCCACTTTGAGGGCTCACAGTCAGCGACATATTACCTTCTAATGCTTCAAGGCAAGGAATTTGTAGCCATTCCAGCTGGTTCCTGGTAATCAGTTTTATCCTTCACCCTTATTTATCCCAATTTTGCATAATGGAGTCATAATTTCTGTTGATTATAGGTACAATTTTAACAAAGTGGCACAGTATAAGCAACTAACGTTGGAAGAAGCAGAAGAAAAGATGAAAAATAGAAGGAAAACTGCTGATGGTTACCAGAGGTGGATGATGAAAGCGGCAAATAATGGACCTGCAGCCTTTGGTGAAGTGGAAAAGTTTGATGGGGAAGGTGCATCTGGTGGAGGGAGGGGGCGTAAAAAATCGACAGGGGACGACGATGAAGGCAATGTTTCAGATAGGGGAGATGAAGATGAAGAAGAAGAGGCATCAAGGAAAGGTAGGCTTGGACTCAACAAGAAACATGCAGATGATGATGAAGAAGGTCCAAGAGGTGGTGACCTTGACTTCGATGATGATGATATTGAGAAAGGTAATGATTTATATGCTTTTATAGTATTAGAATTAGAATTTACTAGAAAGCATCAACAACTAACCATTTGTCTTTGTTTAAATGTGTAATGAGAAAATTTGTATTGTTTGATGAACTAAAACCTTCCTGGATTCTCTGTTTTTTTTTTCTTCTTTGTCCATTATTACTAAATGCTACTACTTAATAATGATTATTTGATTAGTGGTAGTACATGCTGTATGTGACCCTATTTTTAATGAGTTAGAATTGTCATGTGATTTCATCCCATTTATACTTCTCATTGGGCGGGTTTAGCATATGACAACATGGTGTGAGTTATGTGGGTTCACTTGTCACATTCCGTAATCCCTCCGTTGCTCCTATTTCCTTTAAGGACATCCCACAACCCATTTCCTGTAAAATGGAAAAAAAAAAAATCACAAAAGCACGGCTTCAATTAATGTAAGGATTCGACACCACTTCTTTGCAAGGAAGTCCTGGTGAAGATCCTCAGAACTTTCACATTTTTAAACCTCCATACTGGGTCAAATGGGACACATCATAATAGCAAGATGGGGAGTAGCTTTTACACAAAAAATCTGTTCTCCTTTTCTAATCGTTTTTCATCTTCTCTAGGGGATGATTGGGAGCATGAAGAAATTTTTACCGATGACGATGAAGCAGTTGGAAATGATCCCGAGGAGCGGGAAGATTTGGCCCCTGAAATTCCTGCTCCTCCAGAAATTAAGCAGGTTATTTTTTATTCTTTTTATTTTCTTATAGAAAATTAAGCAGTTTATTGTGGAAAATAGGGATTTTCTAACGAACATCCCATTCTGGATTTCTTAGTTTAGGTTGAGACCTGCTAATGAAATGCTTGTGTCTTCCATCATCGTCATTTCATATGATTTTGCGATTGTCTGGCCAGAGTCTAAATTAGGTTGTTGTTATGCTTTTTATTTATTTATTTATTTTATTATTTCAGGATGATGATGATGAGGATGAAGATGGTGAAGAAGAGGGAGGGTTGAGCAAATCAGGAAAAGAGCTGAAGAAATTGCTTGGGCGTTCTAATGGGATGGATGATTCAGATGCAGAGGATGATGACGACGATGACGACGATGTATGTTACCTGATCCCAGTTTTCAGTTCTATCTTATTGAGAATGTCATATGTTGTGCATAATAATGTGAATATTGAAATATTTCGTCTTAGAAAATGTCATCGTATTCAAAATTGTCTATGAACTTCTTGAGTATAATTGGAGGCTTTGGGACATGATGTTCACAAGTTTTGGTAGCTTTAATAAAGGATTGCTTCTTGCCTTATTAGCTTCTTTCTACACAAGCTTGTTCTGGTCACGAGTATAATTTTCTTTATTTTGTTAGATGGAAGATGATATATCACCTGTGCTTGCCCCAAAGAAGGAAGCTCCTAAAGAAGAACCAATTGATAACAGTCCCCTAAAATCAACTACTTCTGGGGCTGGTCGAGGAACACCGAATGGATCGAAGTCGAAGAGCAAAAGGAAGAGCAATGGCGAGGAATCAAAAACAACTAATGGTGCACCTCTGAAGAAAGCGAAAACAGAAAATGTGAGTGACTGTTATGTGTATTTTTGTGTTTCCTTTACTTTATTTAAGGGCATATTCATCATAAGAAGCTTACATTGGGATTCAGGAAGTAAAATCTGTGAAAGATGAGATAGGTTCATCTTCAAAAAGCAGTGCACCTACTAAAGGCGCAACTCCACCAGCACCATCAGTGAGTGCATCTGCACCACCAACTGGACCAGTTACCGAAGAGGAAATAAGGGCTGTTCTCTTACAGAAGATGCCAGTGACCACACAGGATCTTGTAGCCAAATTCAAATCTAGGCTAAAGTTGAAAGAGGTAAGGAAATCTCTTCTATCAAAAGATTTTCAGCCGTTGCTTTTTATTTTAGATGATATAGTATTCTCTCTCTTCGTTTCTGTTTGATTTGTTCGACTCTTTGACGTGTTAGATTCTTGGTGATCTAAGAGTTCCTCATTGGCTCACTGATATAGTGGTTCCTAATAGAATTCCAAATGCACGTGAATTAATGTTGGTACATGTGAGAAGGATAACAAGTTAATTTAGACCATTCACAACCCTCGTAAACCAGCTTCAGTTCTATTACGTGTACCTGCAGCATCATGTGCATACTGTCGAACAGAACAACTAATTGTGGATTATGTTTGTTTGGAATTTGTAAAGCGGGGCATGAGAATCAATTACAAGTATTATGTTGAACCACCTGAAATTGAGTCCAGCAGTTTACTTAAGTATTTTAGATGTTAGTTTTTGGTAACAAAGAATCCACATCTGTAGTAAACTGAAGTTATCTGTGAATACAGGACAAGGATGCTTTCGCAGCTATATTGAGAAGGATATCAAGGATACAGAAGACTAATGGCGCAAACTTTGTCGTACTTAGAGAGAGAGCATAAGTTGTTCATCTTCGACTAGTGTGTGTATTTTTAACTTACCTAATGCTTGCCAAACTGAGGAAGTGTTCTTGAGTCCAGTTTTATACTTTTTCTTGACTAAGACGAAATGGAGAGTTTATTTACCAAATCTTACTCTTGATAGTAACAAAGAACAGCTAAAATAGGGGAGGTCTCAAAAAAAATTAAAGGCCGTGAATATACGAAAAGTCGACGGTATCTTTATTGGTTTAAAATGTATTGAGCCGAATACATGGTTGTGCAAGATTCGCTTGAATTTTAATCAGTGTTACAGAACTTGTGTGATATGAACAATTGAATCGAGCTTCGATGAAATTTAAAACTGTTTTGTCTTAAAAAAGTTTGAACCGAAATAAAACATAATACAAACTGCTCGTTTTAAACCAAGCTCGGAGGCCATCCAAGCGGTTTGATGCAGTAATACCAGAAGGAAAAAAAAAGCAAGAAAATAGATTACATAAAACCGAGTCTGAAATAGAAAAAAAGCAACAGACTGATTGATAAGCCCCTAACACGCTTTTCACCTACAGTGCATAGAGCACTAGTGAAAGACGCTTTATTATCACTAATAAATAGCGGGCTTGGTATCTACTAATAAAAGTGGCAGCCTATGTAGTAACTCAGCAGCCCAGCAATTAACACAGCAGACAGCCCATTCAGATGGGTAGCAGCAGCGGGTGTTGGTATGGGTAGTGGTGGTGGCGGCCCAAACTCATGCTCGGGCGGCCCGAATGGCTCAACGGGCTCAGGTGGCCCGAACTCAGGAGTCGGCTCGAAATGCTCAGGTGGGTCGAACTCAGGAGCCGGCTCAAAATGCTCAGGAGATGGCTCATGGTGGGGCCCGGAATCAGAAGAGGGCTGAATGGGCACGGGCAGTTTGAGGCCGTTCTTGCAACTCTCTAGGTTTCCACTAGCGAAGTATCTCACACCTTCTTCGTCCAGGGACACGTGGCTAGTGGGGTCGTCGGTGTACATTCTGATGGGGTTGGTGAAATTACAGGACACGAATTCCTCCATGTTTTGCAGCTCAACTATGCTGTCCTCTGTTCCTGAGTAGTTGAACCCTGTTTATAGGAGGCATATATAAAATTATTACAAGACTTGATTTTTATACTAGAAAAAAGCATGGGTACAGAGAGTTTAAAGAGGAGAGGGTTTTGCTCACATATTTTGTCGCCGACCTTGAAGACCCGGCCCGACAACCAAGAGCTGACGTTGAAAGCGGGTCCCCATCCGTGGTCGCCGCCGCCGCCGACGACGTGGTGGGTTTGGGCTGAAACCCCAGCGCCACCACTACTCAGAGCAACCACCACCAGAGCCACGGCGGCGAAGACCACCTTCATAACTACTGCAGAAACCATTAACTATTTCCCAAATAGAAAAATAAAAATGCCCTAAAAGTGAAGAATGAGGGTTAGGAGTTCCAAGTGAAGAAATAAGAATGGGGGTGAAGTTTCCAATAAATAAAGGTAAAAGATAGAGGTGGTGGGAAGTACGTGGTAGGTGTCTCGTTGCCTTATTTTTAACCATTTACTCTCTACTACTACTAGTAAATGCCCACGTGCTTCCTCTATCTTTACTCCATTTTCAACATTTACCTACCTACCCCCTTTTTTTTACTTTCTTCTTTTTCAAACCACACAAAAAGTAATTTTTAAAGACTTTTTTGAATTTGGTATTAAATCAACGATAAGATTCCCTTAGATTTTCTCATTATAGCTTTTTATATAATTCCACATTTAAAGAGTCATTAATATAGTCTGCAAGTATTGATTCAATTCCTGCATGCACCCTCCCTATTCTGCCTTTACCTAATTAATTATAAAATAAATAAACAAACAAATGAGCTAGGGGCTTAAACTTGCCTATTATACTACACGTCGTTCTATATATTATAGATATAGATCATGCATAGTCATAAAAAAGATCATTTAATATACACATATATTTTTATAATATAGTCGTCTATTAAATGTAACACGAATATAATTAAGTAATGGGGTTGGAATGGCTTCGTGTAATGTGCACAGCCTTGTAGTTGCCAACAGATGACACGTGTCCTCCAATTCAATTTCATGCATGCATGTATGTTTGTCTTTTCTTAAGGTGACAACCGCCCGATGGACCTGCCTATTCTTCGACATATGTTTTTGTCATTTTTCGGTCCACTTAAGGGCAACTGAATGTAGTAATGTGAACTGTTTTGTTCTTGGGCCCAACTAATTAAAGGCCCAATCAATTAAACATTTAATAATTTAAGGCCCAATCTTTGAATTTTGGAAGCAACATTAATCAAGATTATCTTTGGCGTGTGAGCTTCTAATTGACTTGTTAATTATGCGTTGTAAGTAACATTAGTAACAAACTAAGTGTAGTGATTGATCTCTCAATCCCTAGTGTTACGTTCAGTTTCCTTTAAATTCAGCCATAGATCCGTAGTAACAGAAAGAGGGAAATAGATAGAATAATAAATAGCTCAAGCTAAGATCTGCATGTATAAATAAAATGGCTCAATTCCCTTTTCCAGTGTTTAATCCAATAGATTCAAGGTCCGGTGGCAACTCCAAAATGAAAACAAGCATCAAGCAACTGTTACTGATTTTAAACCCTAGATCTACTCCAAACTCACACTGAGTTGACTCACCAACACATGCATGCACAGTCAACTTAGTCACAAACTCACCCTCTCCATTCAGCACAAACCCAGTTTACCTGACTCAGAGTTCCACAATCACTTACAGAAGAGTATCGAGGTGTGAAAACACTCAATTTGATCAATAAAAGGTAAGTCACTCTTGTCTCTCTCTCACCATATTATATATACACGAAGATTCAACGGTCCTCAACATTAAATGTGTTGCGACGGCAAGGACACCCATTGTTCGGCTAGACCTGCAATGGTGTCGCCGGAAAACAATAATAGATGACGAAACACTGTAAAGTGAGAAGGAGACAAGATGAGAGAAAAGCGGCGCAGCTGAAAAGTGAGCTGCTAGGGTTTGAGGGGGAGGAATAAGATAGAGGAGATGAACGACCAAGATTAATCTCACACAATGAACCGTCAAGATTGGGTTTGACCAGATCAGTGGTCTTAAGTTGTTGTTGGGCCCAGGGCTGCAATCATTAAAAAATGGCCCAGATACGAAAGATCATTAATTGGATTCAAAACTTAACATTATTTTAGTCCGAAGATTAGATCAAGGGTTGTGGTCTACTGAGGAGCTAAGGGTGCAGCTGATTAAAAGGAGCTAAGCTGTATAGATGATCATTTTAACACAGAGACTTTAAGAAGATTTCCTTGCCATGTTTAGCAGGGCAGATTTAGGGGTGGCCATGCATGCTATAGACCACCATAAATATTAAAAACAAATTTGCTTCAGTAGTCAAGATGTCCAAATAGTTAGAAGAGGTCATGAGTTCTGCACTTTTAGGATGAGGGGCGCTGCCCCCGAACTCCCGAAAATTTAAGCGTGTGGTTGAATGAGAGCTTCTCACCGTAAGTGGTTACAACTTACATATCAATTAACCGAACCACTACTATAAATCATGCATGTGTTCCTGTTTTTCGTATTCAAAATTCAAATAAGGTTTGAATGAGATTAGGGTTCGATACATATCATTCTGGTGTGTTCATTTGTAACATGTTTTAAACAATAAAAGAATACCTAAATCATCTTAATTACGAAGAGTCGTCATCATCTCTTTGTATTATCAGCTTATCACATGATCTATATATATCTTCAGAATTGAGAATATATATTAAGTACGTACTACGTACGTATTTCCCCTGCCACATTCTCTCCATTGGACAAATCTCAACTGTATGTGGCCAACAAATCGTCCAAGTTCATCTATACTTTTCATGTCGTAAATTTCCCCACATATATATATATATATATATATATATACTTCACATATGTACAATATCGTTTATGAATATCACATGCATATATATTTTAAACATATTATATAATGCATCTATCCTTGAACGAGGACAAATGCCATTTATGTACATAATATTTTCTTCAATTTTATTTTATTATTTTTTATAAGTCCAAAAGAAATGTTTAGCTGCGCAATAATTTGATGATGGTTTACTTTTAATCCTGAAAGATTCAATGAACTTGGACTGAATTTAGGCTCAATGAACTTGGCCAATATTATTGGACTATATGATCACTGCGGCCTCGAGTCTCCACACCCATAACCACAAATGGAAAGAAAATAAAAATAATAACAAAATAGTACTTACCATTTTAGATGCATGTGTTCAATTTGACTGTTATCTTCACTGATTGGGTGGCGATATCCATATAATATAACTTTGTTGAACTTGTGTAACATTGTCTGAAAATTACTTGGTCAATAAATTCCCAAAATTGTTTAGCTATAGTACCATTTATTCTCACAAATTAAAGACCAAACCCCTAATTAACCACATATATATACACTCAGTAAAATGTACGGTAACTGTTGTCATATAATAGCCCGCAAATCATATATTCATTAATTAACCATATAGATGATGTGTATATATAGTAGATTAAGGCTTTAATTTCTTCAAGTTTCACTAATACTAGATCATGTTAACTTCACTAGAAACTTGCATCATCAAAATAAATTATGACTCGTACATCTGTAAAAGGAGTAATAAGATGAATAAGTCATCTCCTATGGTGTCAAATTCAATATAATCTTCTAAATTCAATGGATTGTTTTCTAGTTTGCACTCGTTTTGTGCAAAAACGCAGTTTCTGATGCACCACAATCAGATATTTTTTGTTAACCAAGAGACAACTTATACACTAGTAGAAAAATTTTGCTTTTTACTACGACCATTAACCGTAGCAAAATATATCAAATTCGTAGTAAAAAGGCTTTTGTTACGCATTTGCTATGAATTTGCCCCGTAGAATATACGGGCGTGACAAAAACTTTGCTACGGTAAATAGTCGTATCAAATACGTTTTTTGCTATGGTAAATCCTAGTATTTACTACGACTTCAAAATTTGTTCCGTAGTAAAAAATACCTTTTATTACGGCTTTTACCGTAGCAAACAATTTCGTAGTAAAAAACAAATTTTCTACTAGTGTTATGATCATCTTGTTTCAACACGTGGAGTTCGAATTGTGTAAAACGGGTACAAACTAAATAGCATTCTACATAAATTAGAAGATTCCATTAAATTTGACACCACAAGAGTGGACTTGTAAGAAGATTCATAGTTGAATGATCGAATGATTGTAATTATCCAAACATAAGTGTGTTTTTTTTCTTCGTGATTTGACATTAATCTGAGTCGTATAGAAATCAAATTGAATCATAATTAAGAACACAACTCATTCATTCATTCAAAAAAAATAAGAACACAACTAATCAACTCTAAATGAAGCAATCTAATTAACTAGACCTTTGGCTTTTACCACACGTCATTTGATTTGATGAATTTCTCCACACTCCTCGGGTAATTGAATTTTATATATATACTGAACCTGGTCTACTTTTCCACTCTGTGTACATTTTACACATTTCCCTTCCAATTATTGAGCAAAAAAGCTGCGTGCATTAGTATTTAATTTTCTCTGTATGTATCTGTATATATATACATATGCAAGCGCATATACACACACACAGATATATATAGATACACATATAATCATAATTCCGACAAAAATGTCCACATCATTACAGTGAAGTGACTCCATTTCTTCGACACAGTAACGTAAATGTTAACATCATTCCGCCATATACAGATACTTCATTTTCTCTCTCTATATAACCATAAAGCCCTCTTCTTTCCAATATTTCAATCATTCTCTCTCTCTCTCTCTCTCTAAAGTGATAAAGATATTTTTCAAAAGAGGAAGAAGGAAATTTATAATTCAGAATTAATCGACGGGGAAAATGGTGAATATTCCGGTGAGGTTCAATAGGATGGCGGCCGCCTTCGACGAGATGGCTAGGGTTAGGTCATACGAGAGCAGCGGCAGCGAGCATTCCTCCGCAGATTTGTCCGATCTCGTCAACTCCTTCTTCGAGAGGGAAATCAGAGAGCAAATTAGAACCACCGACGATGACGTCATCGATCGTGATGAGAATGGGAACCGGATTGACGACGGTGACGAATCGGATCAAAACAACTCTAAGGATTTCGAACTCGAAGATTCTCTGAAGAAATTGTTCAATCGCGACCAAAACGACGTTGTCTTCAGAAGCCGTATTCATGCTGAGGTGGAGAAGGCGTTGGCAGAAGTCGCCGCCGGCGACAATTACTCGTCGCCGGATTTTAAACGGCGGCTGATGGCTCGGTTGCGCAGCGGTGGCTTGGACGCCGGTGAGCTTCTTTCTTAATTGGTTACGGTTATCCACTTTTTGATTAAAATATATATTAAACCTAAATTCTGACATTTTCTGACAATTTTTATTACAGGCATGTGCAAATCGAAGTGGGAGAAAAATGGCCGGATTCCGTCGGGGAACTACGAGTACGTCGACGTGAAAGCCGGCGAAACACGATACATCGTCGAAGTATATATAGCAGGAGAGTTCACAATCGCACGTCCGACGGGTTGCTACACGTCGTTGCTCGATTTATTTCCGCAGATTTGTGTCTGTAAAGAGGACGAGTTGAGCAGGCTGGTGAAGCTAATGTGCAGGGCCATGAGAAAGTCGATGAAGAGCGTCGATTTAACCTTGCCGCCGTGGCGCCGCCTAGCCTACTTGAAAGCCAAGTGGTTTGGGTCCTACAAACGGACAATTAACGAGGTTCGAGGGGGAGTGGCGGCGGCCAAGGACTTGGCCGGAAATAGATTTGTCGGTTTTGCTCCCGCGGCGGCAATGGGTGCTTCCTTATATTGCAGAGTTGATTTTACGACCAAAAGTGGGGGTAGGGTTGGTAATTTGGCGGCGGCGTTTAAGCAAAAGGAAATGGTGGTACTCTAAAATTGTGTGCTTGGTTTTCAACCATTAGATTATATCATTTTGTTGAAGTTTAGAGAATATGTAAATAGTGTCGTGTATAGTAGAAATATGCATATGATTTTATGATTTAGAAATTATTTTTTTCATTTCGTTGTCCATTGTGGAAAAAGAAAATCGAAATGGATCGTGGGATTCCGATCAATCAATGTGGAATATGGAAGTCTTGTAAGAAATGTATCTGGATTATGTTTTTTTCATCATGATAATGAAATTATGATGGTTTTCAATGGTGAGATCTATCCAAATGATTTATCTTTCTTTATCCGTTCCATACGACAACGGTGCATAAGATGGAGCTTAATTGGGTTTGCTTGCCTGTGCGTCAATTCAGTTGCACAGACGACGAACGAGTTTTATAAGTATTGATCTGAAATCAAGACGAAATTCAACAAAGGACGAATACTAACTTGTACTAAAAGCTATGAAAGAACAAGAGAATTTTACTTGTTCGGATCAAGGATTGACAAAAACTCATTTTATCGGGCAGTCAATAGAACTCAGGAACGATTACAAGAACACGCAGTCGCAGTAAATTACTCACAAAAAAACCCTAAATTGTGTTGATCAAAGAGAGATTAATCTCAATTTCGCTATGGCGTTTTCTCTCTCTAATCTCTTGCAGTATGTTTCTCAATTTCTCTCACATAAACTAACAAGTCAGTTATACATATGCGTTTCAGAAGATGACAAGATCCAGCTCTTCTCCACGTGTTGCATGTCACCACAAGTTATTTAGGGTAACCAACTTCTCTTCAGTTGTTTTCCTGCATCACTAGTGCAGTTGTTCAAGTGCTTAGCTAGCTTGTCCAGTCAGCTTTCTTTAACCAATCAGATCCCTTACTCCCTCGATACTAATTTTATTTTAGATAGTTTACCGTTTAATAGTATACAGGTATATTTCACTGATAGTGATTTACTTTATTATTTGACTGATGATAAAAAAAGAACAAGAATTAATGTTTGAAAATAAAAATGAGAAATATTGTTCATATGTTCCAAAATTGACCGCACCACTAGGCTCTAGACACGTGGCGAGTCGCATTGTAAAACATCACACATGTCAATGACGTACACGACAATGCTTCGACCAAAATTTGATTTACGACATTTGATTAAAATTTCTTTGAATAAACTACATTAAGCTTTGATTATGTCACTAATTTTCAACCATTCAACATAATTTAGAATATCAATAATCAGATAAGTTGGGTTGATGAAAATTTGATTAAATTATTTGTTGGATTTTGGCCCAAATATGTTCTGGGCCATAAAGCCCAATTGCCATCATTTATACACCACCATTGAGTTAAGCCCAAGGCATTTATGAGTGAGCCCAACCCATTTGTGAACCAAATCCATCCTTTGTACTGCCTTGACTGAGTTATGGCTGGAGGTCAAAGTGCACGGTACAGTGCTGACTTTGACCCTCCGGTACAGCCTTCATCGGCTATCTTTGACTTCAGTCCCTATATATGCTGGCATGGAGGCTGGAAGAGGGTAAGACAGAGAAAACCCTAGTCAGACCTAAATCCCTTCATTTTTCTTCTTTGTGAGTTGAGAAATTGGGGTTTTGGTGAGTGGGTTAGCTTGAGTGCTTGATCTGTTCTTCCTTCGTGGTTTTCTGGGTATTTTAGGGTTTGAGTGTTGTGAGAGAGAAAGGAGGATCTGTCTCCTTGAGGTGCTCTGGTTGTGTATAATTGGAAACTGT